CACTTCGTTCGCGACGCGACGCCGCGCGTTGCGTTCACGGCGACGAAGAAGATATTGAAGATAACCGACCGTTCTCTCCTTCGGGGGAGTTTCGCATAAGTTCGCGCGAGTAAACGTTTACTTCGCCTCCCCCTCCTCCCCCGCATCCCGTATACACGCTGGCGGAAAGAGGCGAAGTCTTCATTATCACAGACGTGTCCACTGACAGTTAAACATAGATTAAACACATATATATATATATATATATATATATATATATATATATATATATACGCATACACACGTACACCTTCACACCCGAGCGATATGAAATCCGGCCCGAAGCGTCGTTCGACGAGTGTCGCGCACCGTAATTACTGCGTCGCCGTAATTATTACGGCGGCAACTGCGGACTCTTCCTAAATTCTCTTCGCACAAATACAAACAAACCGACAAGCAAACAAGCAAGTAACGATGTAGTGTAACTTACGACGGACCATATCAATGAATCATATCAGTAATGAAAGAAAAAAAAAGAAGAGGAAGAAGAAGATGAGGAAAAGAGGGTATTATATCTCGTCCCTGGATTGCGAGCCCGAGGCGAGAGGCGGCGAGTTTTTTGACATGCTTTTAAATGCAACGAGCTCTCCTGTGTACAAAAGGTCGCCGATTGCGAGCGGTCGTTCCTGGTAACTTACGTTCTATTTGTCGAGGGAGACTCGTACTTCGCGAGGCGAGATCTCCGCCAGGTCGCGATGTAACTTCGAAGAACAGCGTGAATGTTCCCGCCGACCAAGCGTGTTTGTCCGATATTAAGTGTTAATTAACCATATGCGTGTGTGTGTGTGTGTGTGTGTATGTGTGTGTATGCTCTTTCATTTTTATTACAATTACGTCTCGTCGCACGAGACTTCGAGAGTAGCCGAGATTTCGGCCGAGATTACGCGATTTCTCAAGTAGAGATCACTTTTATTTTACGATCCACGCGAATTTCTACTGATGGCTACATTTTCTCACATTATTTCTTATCTTCAGGTAAGAATCGCTCTTACTTTCGAGTCGCGGGCGATTTTCCAGAGTGAAACTTACGCCTTGTATTCTGAGTTGAAGTGATTTCTGTTTCTGGAGTGTGAAAAATCTCGAGATCGCGCTTCGTACTTTCCACCTGTCGGTTATCTCGCTCATAAGAGAGAGATACAGACATACACACGCACACACACAAATCGCACGACGATTTGACGATATTTGAAAGTGCGAGTTTGCCTTGACGGGCGTTTGCTTAGGCTTAAGCTTGCCGTAAGTGATGATTTGTCGAAGCGACTTCTCTTGAACCCGCGTCCTCGTTGATTGCGCGATGAACGAAATACAACGCTTTACGAGAATAATTGCTTCCCGCGAAACCCGATATAAGATGGAGACGTGCGATAAAACGAGGCGAGGCGAGTAGCAGACACGAGGTATGTAAGGGTGACACGAGCGAGCAGAGAGGAAGGTCGCGTGCGGAACGAATCTCGATGCCGATTAAGTAAGGATTATACTCGGCGATGTTCCTTGAACTCGAAGACGCTGATCTAAACGACGGCTCCGTGCGATTGAGGTATTAATTAATTTCGAGGTATCTTAATCTGTCTATATCTTTCGACATTACTTCTCTAACTTGGGGGAATTGATTGTGCAATCTTGCGCAAGAGTAAAAATATAAAGCAGTAGCAGAGAGCGAGAGAAGGGAGAATTCTCCTTCCGCTCTCGTCGATCGAATGATTCTTAGTAGAAATTTAATGCAGTTTTCCATTTATGTTGGACAGTTATGTCTGGTAGCTGAAGAGCAGAACTACTTGAGATTCCAAGTCAAGATGTAACGCTCGAATGTAACGCTTTCCCTGCAGTTACTGTGCACGAAAAGTCCATTTATCGAACGAAAGCAAAACAAGAAATGAACGAAAAGCTATTCAATTGATCAATAATCAAGTTTGTTGCTTTTAAAACGAGCAGGTTGGTCGTTAGTGTCTTATTTATAGTATCTTATTTATTATTCACATTTATTGTACAAAATTTCAATGCTGATGAGAGCGTCACAGCAATCTTCAGTGTCTAATAACAAATATATATTTTCATGTTTCTCGCTTTTTACGTGATATTTTTCGCAAATGACATATGATCTTTTTCCATTCTTATACGTGTATTATTTTATCAGATTCTTCCTCAGGCTTGAACTGTCATGAAAGTTTTTGTTTATGTCATTGGCACCAGCATAGTCTGATGTGTTCTTTATCTGTTATCGCAATGAAATTCTGTATTGTTTTAACATATATATCTCATTTCTCTTTTGTTTACTTTCATTTCTAATCTTGGTAGTCATCTCTGACCACAAAATTTAATATCATCAAATGCCTTATTTCTTCTTAATTTCTTTTTCTTGCTCCGTGCTTTTCTATCTCTTTTCTTCCCCGTGATGTTCAATTGTTTACGCAATTTTGACCTTTTTTTCAAACAATATAAATAAATATATGTTTTAAATAAATAAATAAATATGTCTTAAATTAAATAGACATGTTAAACGTGTTTTACACACGTTCACGATGGACATTGCAAATGTGTACATTATAAAACTGAATAAACATTACTATGTCTTGGAAAGAATACACATATTGTACACATATTATACAGCAAACTGCTTCAATTACTGAATAAAATTTTGTCGAGTTCTTGTCCAGTTCCTACGTAGTACTTTCACAACTAATGAGAACGCATTAATATTAAACAACAACTGGGCGGACATTCACGCGAACTGCATACATTTCTACCAGGGATTTTTCTCAGCGTTCAGGACGTAGAAATGTCCAAATTGCATTGTCTAACATTGTCCTTCTCTCGTCGAATATTTATACATTTGAGAAATCTTTAATCGCCAGTGCGATCGGACGCGATCTGCGAGGAGAGTCGAAAGATGTTCGAATATTATACCCCATGTCGGGGTCATCTCCATGACGGCTGCTCTTTTGTGTATCCTATTCGTTCCTCGAATTTCTTCGTATCGATCCCGTGACGCCGTCGAGATATATCAGGGTGTCCGAGTTCAAGAGGTTTTCAGCTGTTGAGAGCTGGTAGCGCTCGACGGCACGGAAAGTTCTTTCACGCGTTAAGAAAACACGCGTGAATGCACAGCAGGACACGAAAGAGAAATGATCGCGCGTTCCCACTCTCTCTATTACACACGCTAATTACACACGTTCCACTATTGCGCGAGAGTGCACGTAGAATGGCGCGCAAAAGAGTGTCTAATTATCTACTTAAAATAAGCGACCAATACGCTGGAATAAATAGGCTTGTTATCGCGACGAATTTGCTCATTCATTATCGACCGAAAAAAAAAGAAAATCGTTAACCAGCTACGAATCTGTACTCGTGAGAAGTAATTGCGAATTAAACGATTCTTGATTCTTGGCAACGTTCTCTTTCTCGTTTCTATCAGCACGACCTTGCCTACGACCTTGTCCAGTTCTCCTTCACTTTAGAAACGTTCAGAATTTTCAGTTCTGTTACAATATTTATTAAATGGTTCTCACGGTCAGCCTGTGCTGACTTTTGTACACTGTATAGATTAGGTGCAATCAGAATGAACTGAAAACTATATTCGTTTCTTCGTAATGTTATTAATTTTGATGATGAAATATTCATTTTATGTATTAGATATTATCAAAAATTTGATTAAATTTTATAAAATCATTTACCGTACAACTTGTAATCATTGTTCATTTTTGTTTTACTTTTAATATGATTCTCATGGATTGTTTCGTGGAAGTACTTGAATGCAAATTAGAAAGAAATTCATACTAGAATGTTTGGGAGGTGCTAGTGTTACAATCAGAGTTAAGGATATATTATTCATATCTCAGAAATAATATAAAAAATTTGAAAAAATTAGGGATTAATTTATATTGCATTTAAAAGTGACAAAAAGGATTTGATATTTACTCAGAATTTAGGTAAAAAATTATAGCAAATTCCGTAAAAATACTAGTAAAAAAATTTAGTGCTAATAGAAAATTATAAATATATTTTTAAGTATACAGGGTGTCCCACAAACTGATAGAACACCCGTTAAGAATACGTAGGGAGTGAAATTTGGAAATGAAAGTTCCTCTTCTATTTTTGGATCCGTCAATTAATTAATCAGATATTAATTAATTAAGTCTGCTAATCCCTTAGCGCCCCGTGTGAGCGTTCAGGGCTGTAGAGCGCCGTGGACTTTTCAAAAGCCCTGCTTGTCCGTTTTTCTCCCCTTTTTTGTATCACAGAGGAATAAATATGGATGAATGGATGTGTGGATGGGTGCCTGACCGAGGCTAGGGGTGACAAGTTTTCAATGTGTGGGAGTGATGTATGGGTGTTTTTGTGTACGGTTATGAGTGCATGGATAATTTGAATCTTTTTAGTGTGAGTGGGCGGAGTGGTTGCACTTTATGTCCCGGAGGGGGAGGGCATGTGTAGTATGTTTCCTTCGAGTGGGTGATTTGAATGTTTTCTGTATGTCGGTGGTTGAGTATCGTGAATAATTTTAGTATGTGTATACAAAAAGGAGAGAAAAACGGACAAGCAGAGCCTTTGAGGAGCCCACGGCATCCTACGCCCCTGAGCGTTCACTCAGGGCGCTAAGGGATTGGCAGACTTAATTAATTAATATCTCGTTAACTAATTGTCGGGTCCAAAAATGGAAGACGAACTTTCAGTTCCAAATTGCATCCCCTACCTACCTCTGTTCTACCAGTTGTAGGACACCCTGTACATATAGAATAGAGAAAAAATTATATAAAAAAATGATCGCTTAAGTGTTTGTAAAAAAAATATTCACTTAAGTGTTTCACTTTATTGCGAATATAAAAAAGAAATGCGATGAAAACGTGAGTTTACATAAAAATTTGTAAAAACTTTGTGAAAATAAATTTAAAAAAATTAATATTTTGGCTCTCTTATCAATACTTTTATGAAAAAAACTTTGAAAAAAATATTACATATTTCAATTTGTATAAGATATAATTATTTGAGCATTAAGATGCATGAGAAAAAGATACGTTATCTTTTTCAATCAAGAGGCAAGTTAAAATTAATAAATTCAAGTTTTGCGGTATTAATTCATTATAATGTTGATTTTATTAAAATTATTACAAAGATTAATTATACTTTCATCCAGTATCATTAGACGAGTCCCTTTTTCGGGCATGCGTACTGAATATAACGTGAATGTAAATAGAGTATATAATTAAATTATTTAAAGGTATTGTGTTTGTGGCTACTATATGGATATTCCTAAAGAGTTATTTACAAATTTTTGAAGAATTTATAAGAATCTATTCAGAATCAATATATTTATTCTTTAGCGGTACTTAAATTCTTCTATTGAACAAAATAGATGCATTTCAAAATTTATACGAAAATACGAACAATCTTTCTGTTCACGATTATATATTTCTATACTTCCCGATATTTTTAATATGCGCTCACGAAAAGAGCTTATCTAACAGCACTGCCTGAATCTCTTTTTTGTTTGTAATTAAAGTTTGACAGGATAGAAACTTTGATCACGTATAATATAGCTAAAAATAAAATAAGCTACTTATATAAAACTTTTCTTATATTTTATATTTAATACACGCGGAAATATAACGAAAAGCCATCTTTATTTTATACTTTGACTCCTCAATCTAGGCCACTGGGATTAAAGACTATTCCATAAGAGCTTTTGTTACAAGCAATTGAAATGGAGATCTTCCTCCACAATGCTGCTTTTCGGAGACTAAAATGGTTTCCTGCCCCAGCCTGAGCTGCTGCTGAACACTGAAAAAAATTTGATAATATTCAACCTGGATAATAGTTACTAAATGCTTGGTGAAATAGTTTCAATTTGACATATAACTAAATAATTTGATAAATATTAGCTAATAGCCTTAGCAAGGCTTGATAACTATTACCACTTATGGTATGTATCACCAAGCAATTTGTTAAATAAAATTATATTGTTTAATAATACTTTCTACTAGTTTAGACTGATACAGGACACATTTTTTATCAAATAATTTCGTAATTATCAAACTATTTGGTAATTATTACCAAATTATTTAGTATTAATTACCTAATCATTTGATCAAATTAACTAATTTAAGATTTTGTTTAACTTATTTTGCAATGATTACCAAATAATTGGTAACTATTACCGTATTTGATACTCATTATCAAATTAATTTAATCGCATTAAAACGTTTAACCAAATGCATTTGTTAATTATTACCAGACTTTTCTTTCAGTATATGCCCTCCAGGCACCGTTCTTTTCAGATTTCTTACAGCCATCCTCTTGAAGGTCGATGTAACTCCAATGTCTCTACTTCATGTATCTCCCGGACTCCAATCTTCGGACAAGAAGAGGAGGAGTAACATTCGTGGACCCAACATTCTCTGCTGAAATTTCCCTTGTCCCCGCCCCAACATTCGCCCTATGTCCCACGAAAAAACCACGGTCAAAAACCATGAGTAAGGCGGTCTTCTCATAATTATCCGACCAAACCTGGTTAAGCCTTTCCTAGTTTCGTCGTTCCGTTGACTCTACAACTCCTCCAGTATCAGACTGAAATCGGAAAACACGGAAGAGCAAGCATAAATGCATATACAATACTGAGCTCCGAATGTGAAATCATGTGGATCAATTCTATTAGGAGTTGGTTCCAACTTCCTGGTAAGTTAACTGATAGTTACATCATATATCCTTGTTTTTTCTTCAACTTAGATAAAGGCAGATATATAATTTAATTATCAGTTAAATTACTAAGAAGTTAGAACAACCGGCCTTAAATCAAGTCACGATTTTTCATTAACTCTAGGAAATCCTAATTAGATTCTAATCACTCTCTACAAAATGAATTTCAATTCTTACTATATTTCTTCCCACTAAAACTCGAACTAACATGCGCAACTAATACATCAGAGCCCGTACTTCTTTTCCTCGGCTCAAGCAATTCTTTCCATCTTTTTCCGGTCTTGATAAAAATCAATTGCCGCACTTTTTTTTTAAACGACTTAGCTGATTTTGGTTTCCCCGCTACCTGCTGTCGCCGGAACTGTTTCTTCCGCGACATCCCGCAGCTTCTTCCTCCATCGCCGTATGCAGCGTCACCCTCGGAGCCTTCGTTTCTCCCTGGTCATCTCGACGTCCGTCGCCCGAGAGCAGGAGTGCAGCTCCTTCAACATCAGGGTCTGTCCTCGCGTCCTCTTTGGAGTATACATGGTCGACATGTCCCACAGTAGCAATACTTCACTCGCGATTTCAATTTCAATCCGCCAGCACGCTCACGTTCTCGCTCAATCCTGCTCGATCCCAAACCATTCGGGATCACGTTCGGGATTTCGATTCTGTCCCGGACGAGCCTCAAAAATATTGCGCTCACTCGCGCTCGGGCAAAGAAATAAACACATTTATTGAAAAAATTAAGTGTTTAATGGAAAGCTATTTACAAGACTTTCGTACTATTAATCGTATCTCACAAAATCGCCCCGATATGCTACACGTCAGTTCGGCTCAGAGGCTCGTGCACGACTCCGTTTTCTCCCGTTTACTCGTTATCACGGGAAACATGTATTCAGCTGTTCAGGACTCACCAGAACTCGACACTTCGTTCACGTTGAAAAACCAGCGAATCGATCCTCGTTCCCAAAAGAGCGGACGCAACAATATTTATACACAAAGAAGTTATAGCAATGTCATGGAAATGTTCCTATTCATCCCATATCCCCAGAGTTAGTTGCCACATGTCTTTCATGCAAAAGAAGCAAGACAAATTGTTTCTGTTTTAAGTGCTTTATGATATCTTAGATATCTTGAATCTTGAAAATTAGTGATATCTTATTAGCTGTAATAAACAACTATTGAATTAAAAGAAGATAGTAAATCTCACAAACTTTATAACAATAACTTTAAGCTGTAGGACCTTATATGTGGATTCAATGTTATAATATGTACAACATATCATTGCGTATGCTTTCATACTCTTGTATAAACAACGTCACAGTGATAAACCCACAACGACTACCAGTGGATAGTAAAACTAAGTGAAACTAAATGATTAGTGGGACCACTAATTTCACTTTGGGTCAACTTAACCCGAATAATCATTTGGAATAAAGGAGATTATACTTATCGATTATCTTGTAGTAACTGTTAACTAAATGCAGAAAAAATTAGCGTTAGACCCATAACATTTCTTCAACTAAATTACATAATATTCATTCAACTAAAGAGAAATTGCGACCAAGAATTCCAAAGCTAACGGATGAATAAAAATGGAAACAAGAAAAAATTCATTCACAAAATTCACAATTTTGAAAAATTCTTGTAAATACTGTATGTCATGTTTTTGTCATAAGCCATTTTGCATATCCAACAAACACAATACAAGCAATCTATACCATAAAGAAGAATATACACCATTTATTACGTGAGATATAAGCTTTGTGACAACTATTCCGGGTGACTCCTTTAGACTTTTCCCTAATTGACTCTTCTAGAGTTAAAGCTTCTGATGCGAAAGAGTTAAGGCCACTGCTGTGGAACTCTGGATTAATGACGTCAGAAATGAAAAAGCGCATGCCGAAAATTCTTATGTGCTATTTTCAAATAAAAACATGTTTGTATGAGAATACTTATAAAATACTCCGAGAACTATTATTTTTTGTTGACAGTCAATAAATAATCTTAAAATTAACACATGCAACCTTCCTCTTTAACCTACCTTTCCACGTTAATTTTAAGACTGTTTATTGGCTGTTAAGAGAAAAGGATAGTTTCCGAAGCATTTTGCAAGTATGCTCAAGCGATCTGAAGTGTTCTTACATACAAGTATCTTTTTATTTGAAAATGGCACGCAAGAATTTTTCGGATGCATGTCTCGTTTCTGGCGTCAACCCAGTGTTCCGCAGGAGCTTTAAAACCTTAGTAAACTCTCCTAGATTCCCCCAATATAAAATTCATCGAGAACCATCTCTGTGTGCCAGATTAGTGTAAATATTGAGATTATCGGTCGCGCTCTTTTGGAGAACAAAGACAAACGTTTTTGTTTCCACCTTCGAGTGCCACGAGGAGCGTTTGCTTCGCTTACTATCCGTCGACATGCCTGTTTCGACTCGCGGTGCGTCGGCCGTCGCACTTTCTCACCTTGCGCGGGGTATAACACGGAAATAAGACAAAATCATAGCTTACGGCTGGGTGCGCGATCGACTACGTCGAGATCTCGTCCCGCGATGCCGAGGGATCTCTCTCGTCTCTCGGTAGGAGTGGCGGCAGGAGCAAACAAGACGGAACCAATCGCCGAGGAAGGGTGGTCCAGCCGGTGTTTGTCTTCTCGACCCTCCACCGGGATGCCGCAGAATCGCGCAGAAGAGCCTAACGTCGCGTACATCGGTCGCGGCCAATCGAACCGACCGAATCGCCGCGAGCGCGGAAGAAACGAACATCTCGAGACGAGACGCGATTAGCAGAGGCGGCTCGCGCGCAGTTCCGAATCAACAATCGTGTCAAGAACTCCCGCGAAAATCGCCACCGCGATCCCCGGCATTCTCCCGCAGTTGGTGGGCCCGATCGAACCCTCGCGCGCTTTTCGACTCCTTCGAGACGGTTCCGACTCGGTCAATCCTCTTGCCTCTTGAAGCAATCGATAGATAACTTATTCTAATTAATCGCACCAGGCTAGACGGATAATTAATTATGCAGCTGACGATATAAAATTTAATTTCTAAAGCCTCTTTGGGTACAGCAAATGATGTAACAATAATTATTGACGTTACAATTTTTTTTACGCGATTCGGACTTCACTGCTGTAATTTTGCGATATCAGCGTCTACCGATATCGCGTCTATCGATCTCCGGGCTATCTATGAAAAATCTCGAGAGGTTCGGAGAGGATTAATCTGCGAGAGTATTGGCGCACTCCTCAGTCACCGGTAAGGAAGTGCGCGGGCAGATAAATGAAGTAATCGGAGGACTTACGATCCCGCGCGCGGTGGTGAAACCATGTGGACGAGCGGCGAGTAGAGACACAGCGAAGGACCAAGGGGGCTATGCTTCGCGGCAAGAGCAAGAACAGGTCGGAGAACGAGGACAACGAGGCGGAGGGTAAGCAGAGGAGGCCGAAATGCGCCCGCTGCAGGAACCACGGTCTGATCTCGTGGCTGAGGGGTCACAAGCGAGAGTGTCGTTACAGGGAATGCCTGTGCCCTAAGTGCTCCCTGATCGCCGAACGCCAGCGGGTGATGGCAGCGCAAGTAAGTGTGTCTGATTAGTTTAATTCAACCCACGTGCCTGACTTGCTAATTTGTTAAATTCGTGATGAAGCATGTATTGTCCATATCTCGAAAACAAAATCGAAATAATTTTGCAAACATTAAAGATTGATCTATATCGCAAAAGTGGTCACGATTTGACATTGATTTAGAGTCTGGATCTCGAAAGTTATTTCACTCTAAAGTGTAAAGATCCACAATGTGTTCTTTGCTTGCTATTACTTTCTCTTTAGCCCTTTCTGACTTAAACTACAAAGTCTAATCTACAATGTGCTCTTTGCATTCCGTTTCTTGTCTTCTGTCTTTTTCTGGCTTAAAGCTTAAGATTTGAGTCAGAAAGAGATAAAAGGAAAGAAGCAGGAAGCAAAGAGTATATTGTAGATCAGGCTTTAGCCTTGAGTAAAAAAAGACAGAGAACAAAAAACAGGAAGCAAAGGATATATTGTGGATTAGTCTTTATCTCTTTCTGACTCAAACTTTAAACTTTAAGCCAGAAAAAGACAGAGAACAAGAAACAGGAAGCAAAGGGCAGATTGTAAATTAGGCTTAAGCGAATATAATAATGTCAAACGTTTTAATGACGCATTACTGACGTCTCTAACGTCATTAACGCGTCATTGATGTCATTTGATGTAATCTTACTACTTGGGAATATTTTAAATCGTATAGCTACGGAAATATATAATGCTGTTATATTTAGTAAAAGAAAAGGTAATTAAAAAATAATAACAGGAATCTACAAAATTTTTAAATATTCAAAATGATGTTTGCAAAGTTTCATTACCTTTCAAAAGTAAAAGTTTAAAAAAATGTCCAAAATAATATAAAATAAATCATAAAATGTGACGTTAAAATAAAAATGTTGTTATTCAACTGTTGTGTATGTACACACACACACACACACACTATACGTTCTTAGATGGAAAATAGAAATATTAATGTATTTTTAATTTTCAGTTACTTTTTGTAGAGATTATACGGACAATACATCCTTAATCGAAACAATTTCTTTCCAATATACCTCATGAAAGTAATGTAGAATTTACTGAAGCCAAACGTAACTGCAATTTATTCATTTATATTATTTTACTTATTTATGTGTGCTAATTTATTTATTTATTTATTCCCTGTATATATATATATATATATATATATATATATATATATATA